ATAAGAACGCGCAGCAACTACTCATTTTTGGACTGATCGTCCGTAGATCTCGCCGGACGCCGGCACAGGATTGGGAAAGTTGGTTTTGACTCTACCTCAGCGACTTGAAAGTATCGGCGGTTATTGTAACTTACATAATGACTGGTAGTAGACGTAGCTGAGACGAATCATCATGTCTTTGTTTCAGAATTTCTCTCACAGACCCCAAAGGCTGCATGTTGAGGTGTACGATACTGTACTTTTTTTGCTACGCCGAGCTTCTACTGTTCGCCGTTTTCCGCCCCATAAAGGGACTCTATGCAGCAGAGTGTCCAGCTTATCGTATACTAGAATGGCTTGTCAAAGTGATTGTTGAGTTAGTTTTGCATTGTTGGGTTCGTTTTCTTCAAAAATGACTTGATCCGCCACTTTTCTTATTTGCCGTTGGCCTACTACTATTACTGCATTATCAACACGGTGTCGAAGTAGTCCTGCTGTCACCACCGTGTTTGAGTGGTTCCAACAGCAGCTTTTCCTTGCTTCATCGAGTAATTTTTCGAATGCCTGCTAACTATAGAAAATTTATTTTCCCGATTTTCGACCCTTGAATTTTTGTTGCTCGATGATCACTATGCAGCTGTTCCATCTGGTTGGTAGAGCTTTTTATTCGTTTGACTGTAGCTTCCACTCTTCATCTTCGATGACGCTCATTCGCGAGTTTCACAGTGTCGAGCCATTCTATCATTTAAAACGCTCCGTGCTTGTTTTACGAGTCTATTAAACCGTTAAACCATATTGTTTTCACCGAACGTCCATCGTAGCAGTTTTCCAGTTCGTTTCAGTCATTCATGTTTGTCGCTTCCACGTTGCTGTACCAACTACGTCTGTTCCTGTTTAATTCAGATGTCATCTTACGCAACGAGCAAGCTCGTTTTGATCAGACATGTTGCTACGTAGAAAAGCGTAATTTTTACTAGTTGAAGAATAAACGTTTTCAAATGACATCTACTTGAAAAACGGTATCCGTTTTAACAGCATATGTCCAGTCATGAAACGCTTTCAGGATCCTCATCCAACACACCCCATTACTTTAGTGTTTACCGTCCAGTAAAACTGTTGTAAGCATCTGTAATCATACATTCACTACATGTTTTTAGAGTCTAAGAAGCAACCCAAGGGTATTGTATGAATAATCTAAATGAAGTATTTCGGCTGTTGTGCTGTTCGGTTCTTTCCCATTACGTCTCACCTTATTCATTCTGCGCTAAACGTTTAGTTTATTTATGTTTCTTTCTGTTATGTAGCAGAAATGTTATATTTTGCAAACTTGTTCTAAGAATTAGCGTTTACCCTTGTTTCTGAATATTGGATTATTTTAGAGGTCTTGAGCCAAAATTTTACCCTCTGAAAAGGAGTTCTGAAGTATACACAATCCTGAAACTACTGAGCAACTTTTCTACAAAGCAAACTATCATGCAATCTCGCCGAAGTCGTCTGCTAGTGGAATCCTGCTCGTTCGAAGAGGAGACGGCACCGTTGAATAACGTATGAAATTTGATACGTGACTGAGTACAAACTGCATGAAAAACGATATATAGGAACTTGAAGATATCACGCTGAAGATTGACGGCTACGTTCGTGGCCCTGCATTGGATGTCAACAAACTGCTGCACATCTCTGGTGGTGGCGACTTCCAGATAGAGCGTATCGAAACCTTAGCCGACCCGAATGGCCATGATGACTATAAGGTTTTTCGCTGTGATCATAGCATGTCTGCATTGAATGACCGCTGTTATATAGAGCGAGCCAACTGACTTAAAGATCACAGTCGCTGATCCGGAAAAGCAGGAAAGTCTCGTTTCAGAAGTGACGGTAAATCCAATGGAATGCGAGCAGACGTGGCCTACTCCTGAAGATTTGGCTAACGCTAGAAGTAAGCTGTTCTCGGTTTGTCATATTAATTCGAGGTCATGAAAGGCTACGCTTCTCGATGATTCCAGTATTACGCATGATTAAGCTCTATGCGATTGTTGCTCGAAATATTGCTGTTGTAGCCACCATCATCACTTGCTTGCATTCGGTGTTGTGTATCTGTTGTTGCACCAACGATTGATTACTTCCCGGTAACTTTAGTTGTTCCCAAGTTTTTGGGTATGGTTTTCGAGCAGTTCCACTGCTCTGCCACTTCTCTTTGCTTCAAGGTAGTTGATGATGGGAATGTTGAGGTTGTTACTCCTGCGGTCAGGATATACTCCGCAAGAATTTCTGATCTGAAATAAAATACTGCCTTAGTCGTTCTAGGCACAAAGACTTCAAATGATAAATCTTTATCATAATTTCCGTTTTTTTCAGCCAGAGACGCAGCAGTCTTCACGGTAAACGCCTAATTAAATTAAATAAATTCATTTTTTGTTTCGAGGATCATCGATATAGTTTAGATGGGACGTCGGCTGGAACGGACACGTACGAGTCATTAACGAGTGCACAGTACGACTCTCACAAGGAGCTCAGGGTTTGCTTTATCTTCCTGCTCTTAAGAAAATTTTCATAAGAAGAGGGAATGACTTGAATGCTGCTCCGCCTGATCCGGTGAATTTGGAAACACTGGTTTTGCCGAATCGTACAAAAGATACAAACCGCGACCAGGTTCTTTTATTGTCCTGATTAGCGACAGTGGACCTGGACCTAACCGTATGCTAATATTTGACATTCTGCGAAATAGTCGCTTAATTTCGGATTTCATACTGAAATGCCTTTCGGTATGAACACTGACAGCTGGCGGGTCTCCTCTTAGGTTCTGTATTCTTTCTGCCTTCGTTTCCTGTCAAGAGATTTTCAGATTAAGACAGCGCTGAAGACCGGTGACAGTTGTGCGGAAGAATGATGGAGAACGGGTTTTTAGCGCGGTGCCTTCTGCGTTATCCAGATGTACGAAAATGAATGCTCCAACTCGGATGTTCCAGCGTGGAGTGAAGTGCTAAAAGAGTTAGCCGTTGTTTGAAAAGTTTTTAATGGAGATCATCTACTTTATGCTTACTTTCGATGATCGGTGTAACAGCTGGAGATGCGCCTTGTTGCATATGCAGAAGATTGAACAGCATCTCAGGGCATCCGGGCCGTTCAGAATCAGATACAGTCCTGGTTCGTCCATGAAATCAAGGGTTGATTTAAGATCTACCTAAAATACATTAATTCTCTGCTTCTTTCTGAAGGCAGCCTCAGCAGCGTGCT